CAGGGATGGGGAAACTACGGCCCGCGGGCCAACTGTGGCCCGCCGGAAGATTTTATCCGGCCCGCGGACAGAATTTTAACTAGCCGATCAGTGGCGAATATATCTACTTTGTTTAAAACTATTTTTGTTGATTTCTTTTTTAACAAAGTACTGATGACCTTTTCACTTTCTCTATTTTTGTTCTACAAAACATAAATTAATTAAAATAGTTAGCACAAACAGCTTTAACTGGTAAAATGTTGAAAGCAAAAGTTCTTTATAGAATAGCTGTAGATTAGCTCCAACTAGTATTTGTCTTTCTCGAGGAGCAGACATATGGAATCTAATATAGGTGAATTGTACTTCATATGAGGCTGACTACGCGTTTCAAGTTCCAACGAACGGATTTTTCTGCCGGCTCGAGCTCTAACTTAATTTACTGCGTATGGAAAGGTATGTATGAAAATGTATAAAATGGCTACTGCCTTTTTGAGTTATTTGTAAACATTTTTCATCCCAAAATGGCAACTAAAAATCGCAAAGTTGATGTAGAGTGACATGCACTCAATGATGAATTGACTTTATTTTATTTCAGAAGTTTTTACTCGGCCCACCAAACTTTTTTTTCTAGATTTTTGGTCCACGACCAAAAAAGTTTGCCCATCCCTGTACCAGAGCATAGCTGAACTCATGGAAACGGGATAAATCGTCATTAGCACACAAGGAAAATTAATGAATGGCTAAATATCTTTTCATTAAAGCACTCTAGATGACGAGAATGGGCATTTCTGGCAAGGTTAATTAGGTCTTCGACCCCCCCCCCAAGTATGGGTATGCGGGAAAAATTTTCAACTTGTCGCCGTGACAGTCTCCCGCACAGCCGGAGGTGGACAGAGAGTATCTGTCACACGCACTGGCCGAGAGGCCCGGCGAAGCCCCTCCGTGTCATTTATTTAAAAACAAGAAAAAAACATAGTACTATTTTGGCAACAACACGGAGGTAATCGGACAAAAATACAAAAGTAACAAATTCACCTCTATAATTAAACGTTTTACATGTATAATAGTTGTGATTATTCCGACTATTAACAAACAGGTGAAGTTAAACACCTAGATTGATGTTTACAGTAAAATATATGAAAAATTCAAGAAAAAAAATTAAATTAAAGTTTATAAATTGGCAGATAATAAAAAATAAAGTTTATAAATATTTGAAATTTATTAAAATTAACGATATCTACCATGTGAGAGCTGTCAAATTATAATGGAATTTGTACAAGCTTCATGAAAAATATTTTTGGTCTAACTTCATGACCGAAAACTGGTGGTTTAAAAATTTAAAGTTTAAAATACAGGAAAAATAATAAAAAGATTATAAGGGACATTTACATTACATTCATTTACATTTCTGGTAAATGAAATAGAGCTGCATTTCGAAAGAAGAGATAGCACACTGTGAAAATTGGTTGAAAACGTGCTATTTTGTCTTTAGCAAACTGAAAACTTTTAAAAGGAGAGATGTCTTGTCATTTTGACTCTTAAGAAAATTTGTAGAGGACGAGATATCTCGTCATTAGTGCACTGGGAAAATTTATAGAGGACAAGATATCCCATCTTCAGCTTAGGGCAAGATACCCCTTCTTAGAGATATGTTGTCCTATAAAAATTCGTTTAGGTTCAGTTTCCTCCTATAGCAAGGAATGGATTGAGAAGAAATAAAACAAAATAAATATTTACTTCCATATTTCTTGTACTTTGAGTGGAATGTCTTTTGAATGCACTTGTTTTAGCTCTTGGACAGCATCCCAAAACCTTTCAAAATACAAATGCAATTAAAAATAAAGCAAACACAAATAGAGTAATAATAAACTTTAAATCCTCGCGTATGAGGGAAAAAACAACATTTAGGGGCACAACTGCATAAGTTCACGAAACGGGTTTGCAACATCCTTGCCTCCCAACCCCTAAAAGTTTTCTTTTTCTAATTTATTGTTGCTTAGCTCTCTATTTTTACACTATTGATATACAGTACTGTACAATATTATTTTATTTTATTACCAGTCATTGAACAGCCGACCCAATTTTTGGGTTTACGACTACCATTGTTCAACCACGTAGCCTTGTCATTTTGAACCCAATCCAGAAGACAAGGGAACTCTTGGATCGAGAATTGGGAGAAAGTTTCCTTCGTGGAGGACCTTTTTGATGGAACTAACCCGCATTTGTGTTACATTGAGAGGAAGACCACGAGAACCTCCCACGGATAGCGTATCGACAAGGGGACTCTAACCCATGATCCATCTACCACTGAGGATTATTTACGTCAGCACCGTGGTCGGTGCGAGCCAGATGCGGAATTCGAATCAATATACAGTATTTCAACATGGCCCTAAGTACCCTACCAGAGGAAATAATTATAGAGCTAATAGGGGGCCCACAATGTGGCTCTATAGCTTACTATGTATGTATATATATATATGATATCGTTAAAATTGGGAAATTCGAAGTCAATCTTACATATTACAACATGGCCCGATAACTCCTCTCAATATTGACTCATAATATTCAAACTGGATCGCTGGGATCGAAATCGGGTCATCTCATTGGGAGGCTAGCGCTCTATCCCCTGAGCCACCGCGGCTCATCCTATCTGTTATAGAAACAAAACATTGTTAATGATGGAAATCGGTGTACTTACTTGAGGTTTTCCGCACTGAATTCTTTTTCGAGGAACTTGTAGAATTGCTCTTTCCCTGCCGGATCCTTAAGGAGTTCCTTCAGAGAGAAGGCCCATCTCCTCACACGTCTCGCTGGAATGTCTTTTCTAAAAAACAACATGCAAATACAAATTATTCAAGGGCTGAAGCGGTACCGTTAGAGAAAGGTCTTATATTACCCTTCGGGGGTCAATGATTTTCGCAAATAAAAAAGGGGGAGACTCATAGGATTCATCTTCCAAGCAGGCTTTGACATAAGTGTGTTAAAAATACTGGAGTAAAAATTCCTCTTGCCATAAAGTATGTCCGGCAGATCGTAAAAACACGGTTCCCCGTAGAACAGGCATCACTGGCTACGGTCAGTAAGCGGGTGGGGTGTCAGCCTGTGTAGGGACCGAGGGTGCGTGGTATCGGTTTTCATTAAACTGTTCAACCATAAAGTGCTTTACGTCGCAAGAAAGTCGTCGGACTACCAAAGCAGGGGAGCCATCCCCTCTGCAGAGGATCAAAATTGTGATGGAATGTCTTCAGATCCTCCTCAGGGATGTTTCCCAGACCGCCACCCATTGTGAAGCTCTACTGCGACGTAAATAAAGCATTTTTATTAAATATTTTGTTCGCTGTGACATTTAAAACCAATAATCTTCTCAGCGGTCAGTAATAGGGACGTATATTTTCTCTACGGAGGACCGGGGGGGGAGAGTAAGGGATCATTTGGTAGCAGTTTTCACCAGGGAAATGTTGAACTTCAACCGAAATAGAGACGTTTATTAATTTATTTTTTTAAAATTTAGTCACAGTAAAATTATCTATTTTTTTTTAATAGTGAATTTCATTACATAAATATTGAGTGAAAAATTGTATTCTTAGAAGGATCTGTGTCTCGTAATTTATAAATGTGATGTTTTGGTGTTTCTCTAGTGACAAAAAAAGCACACTACTCACAAATTTTCGTAATGTCCCCACCGGTACTTGTACTGTAAGAGGGAATCTGTATGAAAGATCAATCCTATGAGGCAATGGCTTCATTTGCGATTATCGCGGAAACCATTGACCCTAGACTGGTTTGTTACACCATTGACATTATTGCTCTCCAAGACAAGACCTTTCAAAAGATACCACTTTAATCAAAATCCATGAACTAGGAGTACTTCCTTAGTAAGTCCCAGATAATATTTTATGATTTCACAATATTAGTGATTTACAATATTTTTCGAATAAGAATTTCCATTAACTGCACTGGAAAGGGTTAAAAAGCTACAACTACACTTGTGGGGCGAGTGTTATCGACAATCTCAACATTCATCTATGAAAAGGTACCCTTGACATAGACACACTACAGTATTCCCCCACCAGAATTATATCTGTGATGGAATTCGATGAACGGGTACCACTAGTTTATTCATTGCTGTTTTGTGAGAAGCCGGGAGAGCTGTATTAACATCACCGTACTTTTAAATGGTGATCGCGAGAGCTGTCTTAAGATCACGGTCGTTGTCGCACCTGTGTTGCCATTAGCAGTCGAGTGTATAAGTTGTGTGTGATCGAGATTGAGTAGCAACAGAGTGAGGAGGTGGATAATGTCGGAGTCACAGATAGCCAATAAACTGTTGAATGTGAACCATACATCGAAGTAGGTGTGTTGAAATCGAAGTGGGAGTTTCTGTCAAGATAGGCGTGTTCACATCACGTCCGAAGGTCCCCACTGTGGGGCATCGACAATGCCATCTATGAAAAGGTACCCCTTTTTAAAATCGAGTTAACATGCCTTCCATACTAGTGAATTAGAATTGTATTTTTGTAGTGGTAGACACACAACAACACTATTTCGTCTTTATTCTCGTTTTCAAAGAAATAACCTTTTCGTTGTTATCACTAATATAAATAATTCAGAACATATCTATTCAGTATTGTAATTACTCAATGAAATAAAAGTATTGAAGCTCTTGCTAGAGCGACACATTTTAGCATTAAACTTTTGCCTTCCATTTCTTTAAATTTTAATCGATAGCAGCTGAATTATATTTTTGAAAAACTGTTGCATAACCTGCATTTTAGAGACCTGAATCTATCACCACAGGAAATGTATTAAATGCAGGATTCTAATAATCCGACTTGTAGTGAGCTTACATCGTCAAGCAGGGTGCGTAGCCAGATTTTTCAACAAAAATAAACACCTTTTAAGTACTTTTTAAGCACTCAAAAATATTTTTAATCACTTTCCAAAAACAAAAATCATAATTAGGTTCAATGCAGTAAAAAACAAATTTCTTTTTTCGTTTAAAGTTCTCAATTTGTAAATATGAAATCAATAAAATTCTAAAACAATCACATAATCATGATAAAATAATTGGTTTTGATAAATATTGCAAAGAAAATTGTGAAAATCATGAATTTTTTTGGTAATTTAGAACGAGAATCTGCACGGCAAAGAAAAAAAATCTCTTTTCAAACGATAGAAAATTAAGCACTTTTTACAAACCCCGAATAAAAAATATTACCTTTAAGAGCTTTTAAAAAATGTAAATCAAAAATAAGCATTTTTTAAAAACGCTACCCAACCCGGTCAAAGCATGAGGAAATTTTCTTGATTTACCTACCACTTAAAACTAAGTAAATTTCTCATAGAGATTTTTTTATGTATAATTTTATTTACGAATTGTAGTGGCGTAGTAAGTAGTGGTAGTAAGTTTAAAAGTTATTTTTTAGGGAAGGAAGAAAAAAACATGCTTACGTTTGTTTTTCTAACTCCCAGAATTCGACACTGTCGGAAATCCATGGATTGGAAGGTTCTGGAGGAACGAGGAAGGCGTCGTACTCCTGATATTGTTCGAAAAAATTGATATACCTGAAACAAAACAAAATCAATACTTATTCCAAAGATCAAACCTGCCAAAAGATTATGTTGTTACATAATCAGGAGCGTTGACTGAGTTTCATTCTCAGCCTTTTATTGCTAAGATGAGAAGAAAGCTGGGTAGAATACAAGAAAACTGGGAAGGATACAGTAGCCTCTGGCCCTCCATGGGGTGTCGCGCTACTGAAATTAGTTTAGGCATAATCCGGAATTAAATTGCTACTAGGAGGCTTCGCCCCGTGCTCGCTGGTACTCGCCAACCCCCGGAAATGCTTTCGCAGTTCATTTCGGATTGCTTCGCAATCCGATGCTCGCTTTGCTCGCTCATTGGATACGTTCTTAACGTCTAGCTTTTGTATACTTTTTTGAACACTGAAGTTCCGAAAACTTTTCACTGTAGAAAATTCTAAACCTGTGCATTTCAATATTAATTTGAAATTGCAAACAGTTCACATATTTTTCTTAATCACACTATTCTAAATTTCAGTTGTTGAGAAAAGTAACTGTTGTAAGTTTTGTTTTAAAGTCTTT